TTTTTTTTCAAAATCTAATTACGAAAAATATGTATATATATATATATATATATACATATATATCTATACATATTGGTACTTTGTGTGCATGTGGTTGTGAGTTCAAGCCCCCGCTTTGGCGACTGCATCGGGCAGCAGCGATGTCCACTTTCACCAAAATATGGAACAAAAATTTGTTTTCGATTGAAAATAAACCCATTTTTGGGCATTACGGTGTAAAATGGCAATGAAAAATCTCTAACACTATTCTTTCCTGAATTGAGTTGAAGTTTAACTCAACTCACGGATCTGCCCTAGGGCAGTGCCACCCATTAAATATGTATATATATATATATATATATATATATATATATATATATATATATCTTGACAAAAACTTTACGCAATTTCATTTAGATTATAAATAAGAACATGCAGCAGGTGAATTGAAAGTTTCGGTATATAAATTATAAGAACTCCATGGCAAGTTTCTAATTTGGCAAGTATTTCTTCGAATAAACAACATGGTCCTTTTCAGAATATATTTCTGTTTTTAATAGAATTTCTAAATATATTTAAAAGTTTTGCTCATTCTCTTCTGATTTCCAATATTTTTAACTTACTCTCAATAAAGTGAACTCGGTATCATTTGTTTTCTTACTGGTATATTATGAAAAATGTAGTGGTGGCTTATGTTTATATAAATACCTGTATACATGTGTTTTTAGCCCAGTTTCAATGGCATAATTCATAATAAATGAGAAGCGCAGGATTAATTAAAACTGCCTGATTAGTATCAATTTTATGAACAAAGTTGAAAGCTTTAAACAAATGCAATGCAAAAGCTAGATCAAAAGGATAATACAGACATTGCAGATCACAGAAAGTTTAATGTTTTACTGAGATAATTAAAATAGTTTGTCAAATCACGAGCATATTGTTCAAAAAAAAATTCTATATAGTTTTTCAAATGATTTAAAAATTGTTGTATTTTTTATCAAATATTTACATCAATAATAACTGTCATTTGGCAGCCTTGACCATGAACAATAAAAATAATTTAATATATTTTAATAATTCTTAATAAATAAATTTCCATATTGGTGACCTCGACTTGAAAGGGGAGTAATGTGGCAAAAAATCGATATCGAATTTAATTACTTATTTGATCGCAAAGTAAATAAGCAAAAATTTATTCAGGACATTTTCAGGACAGAATTATTATATTATAATGATCTACAATTGTGTGAGTTTGAAGGATTTTATCAACCCGAATACTGATTAAAATAATGCTAACATTTTTTTATTTAGTAAAGCTTTTCCCAAAAAAAAAATGTTAGCTTGAAACATTGATAAAATATTATAATAATAGGATAAATAATAATATGAATATATATATAAGAAATAAATATATTTACGTTTCCAAGTTTTCTCAAAATTTTGGCATACCTTAAAAGAAATTGATGTATCTATGTGTGTGTAGTATATATGTGAAGTGTATGTTTTGGTACAACTTTTCGTCGACGATTTCGAGAGCACGGATTAACCGATAAAAATGATTCAAAAAACATTCGATTCCTATTGGTTCGAAGACTGGCAGGTTCAGAAGTTTAGAAGATTAAGCGAGTGAAGAACGATTTAATAAGCATTTGACTTGCATTAATGGAGTCAAGAAATTTTTCGAAAAACATTTTTGAAAAGGCTGGTTCAGCAATTTCAGATGAATAATTGTTATTAATTCCATCATTAATAATTTTTTATTGATTATTGGCTATTTTTATTCCTCTAATGTAACGGTACGGAAAATTCCAATAATTTGCCTCAATGTACGATATATTAGTTTTTTTTTAATAACTAGATGAGTGCCTGTATAAAAACTTTTTTGTTTACTATTATATTACTTTTATCATCTGATACTAATGCATATATCTATGTGTGTGTGTGTGTTGAGTGGGTGGGTCTATAAGATCAATTATTATCTAGATTCTTCAAGGTTAAATTATCTTCCCACGCGGTCATCTACACACCAAATACTACGTAATCGGAGTTTTTGCCGGTCTACTTCTAGAGATAGAGACAATATATCGATAATAAATAGAACAAATTACCAGAGCGCCCATAAAAACGTATTTGGACAAATCTGATTGTACTGCGAATTTAAAAAAATAGACTTACAATCTTTTATTAATATTACCTATACTATTATTTTTAAAGTTTTTTCTTAATAATAGCAAGGAACACATTATAATATACTATACATACAGTTTAGGGGAACTAGAAGCTTATTGTAACAGGGGTAAGTAGTAGAAGGATTTTTTCAATAGAATCTTAAATAATATTAAAATATTTCTTTGTATAAATTGGACATGTAAACACCTCCCACCACCGCATCATATTGTCATAACTACTGTACCGTAGAACGACGCAGTATACAAGAGTGTGCAGCTACATCATTTATAAAATTAGCATACCATTTTCTTGGAAAATTCTTTTGATAATTTTTTTAATGTTTTATCAATTTGAGCATGCAGTTTGCTAACTTTAGTGTGGTACTATTGAATATTATTTCCCATTCCTTGTTACCATTATTATTTGCTCTGACGAACGTTTCGTCTGTGCGTAATATAATGTGGCTCTATAGCCACCGAATTCCCGATTGAATGCAAATTGCATACATTTGAATAGTTCAAACCATAATATTATCACCTATCAGTTACCAATTCGAGATGTCAACAACAGGCCTATTTGTGGTGGGTAAACCAAACTTATTGAAACAGGATAACATGAAACATTATTAGAGATAGAAACCAAAAATGATTAAAGAAAATGTTATTACGTACTTTTTTATAGTTCATTGGACCGCTAAAATTTGTCAAAACGCTTGTTTCAAAATAAATTTGCATAAAAATATTTTAAATTTTTAGCAAACCAAAATTGATGCCAAAAAAGCTTATCAAATATGTTCTTTTCATTACTTTGTAAAAACAGGCAAAAACTCATTTTCAAACTAGATTAAAATAATTTAAAACGCAGACGGCAATCAATATCAAGCGCATAAAACGGTTGAAAGGCACAATCATCTCAATGAGCTCACTCCAGAAGTAATTTTCAATTCCAATATCCTATGAAATTAAAATGTATTTTCATAACAATGTAGATGAAATGAGACATTTCAAACCAGCTTTGAAGAAGTTACTTTGTATAAAATTCATATAATCTAGAAATAGCACTAAAATCCCAAAATCGAAAATTTTTGAGATGTTGTAACTATTATTAGGCGTAATTAATATCTGATCATTCAAACTAGTTATCATCATTTTATTTGTTATATTTTTTTATTCAAATATAATAAGCAATGTCATTTACGCGTATAGTTAGCGATTTTGAGTTATAGCTCATAATTCCAAATTTTACGCTTCTTTTTAGAAAAGTAGCGAAAGGCAGCGCATAAAGGTCCAAATATCAAACTAACAAATATCTAACTATGGTCAGTAAAATTCTATGTTTCTTTGCTATGTTTCAAAAATTTGTGACCTGGTTGTTTTTACCCAATAGGTGGAATAAAAATAGCAACATATATTATAAAATAAAATATACTTACATAATAATTAATATTTCAAATTATATTCAGGTATTGTAAACTAAACAACCGTGATCAAAAACGAGAAAGACTAGCAACGAAATAAAATATTTTTGTTATAAAATTGATAATGAGGCCGTTTATCTCGTAATAGCGATGTCGCCTGATTTAAGGCGATGGCTGGTTACACGTCTTTTACCCTCTACTTTCAAATATTGTTGTTAAAAATTTTCTAAGTTTACTTGTTTTCAAGATAATGGACTTTTAAAACCTTCTATACCCTATACGAATAAGCAAAATATAAATCATAAAATTATATCATCATTGATTCATAAAGCAAGTTAGATTCAAGGTAACTTTGTTAACAAATATTTTTTACTTTGCTTATTATTCGATAATATTTAATTAGACAGTGTATAAGACTTGTTAAGTGAACAAATATTATGATTTTGATTATAAATCCAAAAACAAAGAAGTTTTGTTTAACTTGCCTATATCAATTAAATAATGGTGAAATAATAATAGACGTAAATTCTGAAACTGCGATAATTATTAACTTCCCGTAGGGTTATTATTGTATATATTGAAAACGCAAAAAAATCAAAAATCAAATTTCTTATAAATCATTACGTTTCAAAGCCTCCTGAACATTATGGAATAACTTATAAAAATGAATGTATGTGTCTATGTATGTGCGGATACAAATTTTCGTCGACGATTTCGAGGACACGGATCAAACGATTTGAATGATTCGAAAAACATTAATTCTATTAATGGGAAGATGAGCTGATTAGTGTTTTTGGCAAAGGCAGGTCCAGCCGTTTCGAAGATACTGAGCAAGAAGTGCAAAAAAATGGCAATTCAGTTTTTTGAGAGAATGAAGCGGCTAATATGAACGATTCAAAAAACTTTAGTGCATTGGCGGAATTGAAAATTGACTGAATTTTTGAGAAAAACAAAAAGTTTTTAAAAATGCCATTTGGCGGTGAAAATGATCATTAGACATATGCACATCAAATTATCAGATATTTTATAGAGATTTCAATAATAACTACAACATTTGTTTTCATTTATAAGGGTTTAGTACCAAGATTCATAATGTTTGAAGTACACCTAGTTCAAACAAATGTCCTCGACATTTTTGACAATATAAATCAACCGACTTGAATGGGTTTTAAAATTTCAAATTATGGTACGGGAACCATACCATAATTGGCTTTAAGGCACGATAGTACCAGCAATTGGCCTTAAGGCACGATGCCATCACTAGTTTAAAATGAATGGTTATATTGCAATTTTTAATTTATCTAATGATCACGATAATTTGTACGAATTTTAAATAAGCCGAAAATACCCGAAAAATATCGTAAAAATCTCATTTTATAATAAATGTTAAGATGTCTATATACATTCAAATGCTAAATTAGCGTTCAATAATTACTTGAGTTTCTGACGTCGTATCTAGCTGCAACGTGTGCAGGCGGCCTGAGCAGACTTCCTTTAGTAAATCAGCGTCTGCATTACCAGCACGACTGCGAAATCCGGCAAAAACCGTAAATCCAAGTTCATCCAGGCGCTGGGCCAGCGTCCAGCCTATAGCACCATCACAACCGGTCACCAGCACGGCTTTGCCGGCCGCGCTCACCTAGAAAGAAGATTAATATTGAAATGTTCTTTATAATAAAATTATATTTTTAAATATATATATATATATATATATATATATATATATATATATATGGCTGGTCTTTAATATGGTTGTTTTTGAATTTCCTTGTTACCAAAGGCTGAATTGCTTCCAAATTGTTCAAAAAAATTCTCTGAAAGTTTTAGATTTCAATATTAACTTCAAAATCACTTAAAAATCACTCTTATAAGGAAAAACCGTACTAAAAAAATATTATAAAAAGTCCTTTTTCTCAGATGTTAATATGATGAATTTCAAACACATTGAACAAAAAATAAATATTCATATATTTAATATCAAGCACATTTAATAAATTATGAGAATATGAATTTATTTCAATAATAAAACAAATTTAAAAAAACCTTAAATATTGCATTTTTTATAGATAAACATTAAAATTTGAAATTCATTCAAGTCGATTGCTATAAATAAGACTTGACATTCTATTTTTGTTTTGGTTTATCAAACAAACTAGCTTATACACACATAAAATTTAGTTTTGATCATAAAACCGGGAGTTCCCATTTTATGTACATATTTCCATCACAATCAAGCGCAATATCAAAAAGAAAATAAAGTATACAGTTAAGTAAAAAAAAAAAATCTAATAATAATTACAATTGAGTAAAAATAAATCTATAGAAAATAAGTAATTAAAGAAACTAATGTAGTAAAAAAAAGACAATTATTCAGATATTCAAAAAAATATATATTGAGTAAAGTCTATATAATGAAAGCATGTATTATTTCATAATTAATATTTTTAATGAAAAAATTATTTCATCTTACACAAGATTTTCTCAAATATACTGGATTTTAAGCAATTTGATAGCATTGTAAAGTTTACGATCACCTAGGGCCCAATTCTTGGATGAAATAGAATTTTTTTTTTTTTTTTTTTTTATTTATTGTTTGAACAGCAATCAGAACTCCTATATGTTCTATAAGCTGTTGGTTAACGACTTAATACTACTTTTTTATTTCATGAGAGGCAATCCATCGATTAACCATTCTCTTATGTGTGGGATATTTTTGATATTAGCTCTTACGTCTAATAGTTGCATATGATTGGATGTTGCAGCTATGTCCACGAAGGACGATTTCCACTTGGAATTATATTGTGATCTATAATCCCAAGTGGAAATTTGACATCAAGCTGCCTGATGTCGGGCTACGGCGGTAGCGGGAATCGATCCAGCGAGCCTGGAACTAGTGGCTGCTAGTCCACGCTCTAACCGATATCGCCACCGCCGGCCCAAATAGAAATGATAATGCAATGTTAATGAACCTGTAATCGTATGAGTTGGTAGTCACAAATTGTCTAAAAGCTATTTATTTGCTATGCGATCAGGAGTTTAAAACATAAAACCTAACTTCACGCATGTGTTATTCAAAACATCAGAAAGTTGCACTTTTGATAACATTGTTATTTGACAATTGTGACATACACCCGTAATATAGCATTACAATAACATTAACTATTTTATCCGAGAATTGGCTCCATATAATGAAAGCAAGTATTGACATCTATATGAAAAAAAAATTAAAAAAACTGTATTGGATTGAAAAATTTACGATCACTTAATTTGCAAATATGGAATGCTAGTAAATTGAAGAGTTATAGATCTAAAAAGTGAATAGTATAAAAAACTCATAAATATACTAGATTTTAAAAACCTGATAGATAGAAGAAAAATTGGTCACAGTAAAATTTACGATCACTTAATTTGCGAATATGAAATGGTAGTAAATTGTAGAGATCTACATCAAAAACGTCAATATTCTTTAACAAATATTTGAAGTATAAAAGTTTGATTGCTGAATTACTTGTTTTATAGTATGTATTAGTTACATGCCAAATATAAAATAATGTGTCCATAATCTCTATAAACAATCAAGTAATTAGCAAAAACATATATTATATTATTTTCAAAGTCTTTATTGCAATTTAAGAGCTTTCAGCATTATGGTAAGATTTAGGGACCGATTCTACCACATAACAGACAAATGTTATGGCAAGGCCATTTTACGCTCCAACTTCCATATTAAATTATACTGAATATTGTCAAAATGTCATGTATTTGCTATGCATTCAGGCGTTTTACACATAAACTGCAACGTCACTCGTATGTTATCAGAAACACACTGTTATCTAACATCGTTTTTTGACATTTGTGCGGTTTCTATCTGACAACCTGAGAAAATCGCCTAACTACACAGCAACCACATAACTTTTGTCAATATTTAGAACGAATTTGTATGGAAAGTTCTTCATAACATAGCCTTGCCATAACATTGGTCTGTTATGCGGCAGAATCGGTCCCTTAGGTAATTTAGGTACTTGCTGAAATCGTACTAACATAATTGGGCTGTAATTAATACAGTTTACTTGAAAAAAATATTTTTATATTACAATTTTTATTGTCAAGTTTATGATCACTTCATTTTTGAATGTGAAATAAAAACTTTCTTAAAAATCAGAAAATGCATTACTAGTTCATACAGTTCTATTTGATTTTGTTCAAATTATAACAGTGCAATTAAATTTATTTAGTTTCTTCATTTATTTATTCTATTTCATTAACGTTGTCAACATTAAAACCCTGAAGACTGAATCATTTACCAAAGTCCATTGTGCTTAAAAAATCAATTGAGCCCATAATCGTTGTAAATAACATATTAGTGAAAGAAAAGCTTTAAAAAACTTTTCTCCTTCAATTTACCAGATCTGTGTGGACTATTTTATAATTTACAACTCAAGAGACTCAAAATGCCCCAAGTGCGTGCGCAGTATTACGTAATTGTACGCCTGGGGATTTAAGATTCTCTAATCTCTGAGATCATAAATGCATGAGTTCAAAGTTCCTAAAACAATATTACCACGACTGCCGACTTCGAAATTCATATACGGCTTGTTAAATTTTTTCACTTGCTCTTATGTAATATTATTTTTAAGATTAGTGGATCACACAGATAAATTTAGATTAGACTACAGCGGGGCTTAAATGTTTGCAGTTAAAAAGGTTCACCATCAATATCTCTAACATAAGTGAAGTTACGAATTTTTTAACAACAATATTTGAAAGTAGAGAGAAAAAGATGTATAACCAGTCATCACCTTGATTTTCACGACGTTGTTAAAAAATGTTTGAAAATCCATAACAAAAGTCCATTTCCTTTCGCTGTTAGTTTTTTAGGTTGTGAGAACTGTTGTTTAGTTTTCAAAATCTTAATATAATTTTTATGTATACATTATTTAATCATTTAATAAGATGTAATGTTAATTTTAAGTTAGATTCAACGGTTTTTTTATATAACCTTTATAAAAGCATATACGTGCGTGGGGTAAAAAGGACCAACTGAAACTACACTTGTTTTAGAGATATCTAAAATAAGTGTAGTGTATCTAAATTTAAAATTAGTAAATAAGTTAAAAAACAATTTTGCAAGTGATAAATTAAATAAATAGTTATTCCAAATCTGCTCCTAAACATTTCTGACAAAATACCAGATCAAGGTTATATACAGCGTTATAAAGTTGCATTAGTTGAATAATGTAGCTATTATTTTATAAAATTCTTTTAAAATTAAAAATAGGACGACGGACCTGTTTGCCCCCAAGCCGTCTCATTTTATCCCGCCGCATATGGGGTCAAAAGGACCAGGTGACAATTTTTTGAAAAACAGCAAAAAAAACACATTTCGACAATATTTAACTGAGAGTTTAACTAAACCTAGTAAAATATTTGTTTTTTCAAAATGTGTGATGTGTGTTTCGATATATAAATGCTCAAAATCAAATTGGACTTTTGTGCCCCGCCCTACCCTATTCGTTTTGATTAATAATGATATATATAACTGTTTGAATTGTAGAGATGCCAGAGTAATTAACAATTTAATTAAACTATTACAAACCAATTAACAATTTAATTAAACAATCGAATCAGTTTGTACTATAGTGTCTTGTACATATAGAAAATGCAAAAATCATTTATAATTTATATCCTAAATCTACATCAAGCATCCGCATTTTCAATTAAACCAAAAAAAATAAATATATATATATATATATATATATATATATAAAATAAACGAATTATAATCCTTTTTTTCAATTCCAGTGATTCAATAATAAATGCATATTCCTTTATTAGATTACTATCGCGTTCTCATTAATTTTCGATTAATATTCATAATGAAACGAATTATTTATTGAAAATTGTGTTTTATGATAAAATATATAGGTAGATATCACATTGTAATTTATCCACAAAGGCGATCGTGCTTTATATTTTCCTATGAACGATTTACGTTTAATTGCATGCAATCACTACAATTTAACTGAATTAAATTGTAGGAAATGTAAATGTCTAGTAAAAAGCGTTTTGAACTTGTTCACTGAAGGTTATAACAAAGTAATATATTAATCCTAGATGGGCCAAATTTTTGTTTTAAAAAAAAAATTAGTTGAAACAGAAAATCAGCCAATATATGCAACTGGAAAACAAAAAAATCATTTTGAATCATTTTTTTGGTATAAATGAATTGAAGTCACAGCGACCCATAATATTCACACTTCTATGTATGAAAATGTTATTTCAGATTGAAAAGCCTAGCAAAAGTCATAGATATTGATATTGGTGGTCTTGACAACGTTAATGAAAGTTCACATTCCAAAAAATACTGTAAATACTGTACTACTATATATAATAGTATTTATACAATTAGTTCACTTAATGGTAGGTATTTAGAATTTTACGAAATTATTGAAATATTAGAATTGAAATTGAAATAGTACCTACCACCTGTCTCGATTTTATCAGGAAAAATCATTTGTTTTCCATATTTTGTAGAATGTATAATAATTCTATTAAGATCAAACAAATATAAAGTGCTAAATTGCATATCAATTTTAGTAAATTTCACAAAAATATAGCATGAAAATAAAAATTCCTAATTTTTTATGAACATAGAAAAACCTAATATCTGAAACGTATATACGTTGTCTTAAGTAATCCTCAAGATGTAATACTCCTATGTTGTTGGCATCTTGCAAGTATGTTGAACAACTAGGAATTTTAAAAGCAAATTAAAAGAACTTATATATAATTAAGGTCATATCATATTTTTTTATTTCAAATCTGGGACAAAGACTTGCAGCGTTGGTGGTAGTTAAGTTAGATTACTTTTTAATAATAATTATGCATAACAAATATTATTTAAACATATGATAACAATTAATTTTTTTAATTAATTCAAGTTTTTTAATAAGACTTTGTACTTAGTAATGTACAAAACTTCATAATTAGTTTTATTTATAATTATCTAATAAAAAGTAAGTCATATCGCTTTTTATACAATTTTAATACTGTTTTTTCAATTAAAATTTTATAAAAATATTTTTGTTGAAATATATATATATAATTTATATCGAAAATAAGGGGCCTTTTATTTATCACGTGGGCTTAAAAGGGGGAGAGGAGTTTGACAAAAAATTACAAAATATGACGTAAAGTCTAGTAAGATATCAATGTGTATTTATTTTTTACCTGAGTTTAATAGAAAATTTAATATTTAAGAAACAAACAAAAGTTTTACTATGTTTTTTATTAAGATGATCATATTTTTTAAAGTCCGAGACGCTAACCCGGAATGGGAAGAAAGGGTTAAATAAGTGCTGTGTATCTTAAATATGATATTTTATGACTGATTTAAATTTTTTGTTAACTATAATGTTTTATTTTGATCAGAATAAATGACTCTTAGTAGGACTTTATTATTCTATAATATGCTATATTATATCATATTTCTTTCTTCATAATTAACTAGTAAAAATTAGCACTTGTGCAAGGCATTCAAAAAGTTCGTTTTCATCATTTTTGATAATTTTTGTAAAATTGAAAATTAAAGTACAAAATTAATAATGAGTGAGGGACTATTTTCATCGGCTTTTGGAATTTTGCATTCGGCAATTTTCTCTTTTATAACGTATTGTTTCATATAAGCATACTCATTGTATATATCATTATCACATATTTGATGGATTGTTGTAACTTTATTATCAAGAAATCCGGGATAATCCGGAACAAAAGAACTAAATCCGGGACAAATATTGCTTTCAAAAAAATCCGGAACACAAAGTTAAAATTCGGGACTGTCCCGGCCATACCGGGACGTATGGTCATGTACTTAAAATACACGTTATATTGTCTGGGTGAGGAGGTGATTAATTTTAAACATCACCACCACCAAGGAGAAGGGAGGGGTTCAAAAATCCTTAAAAATTAAAAATCGATTATATAATTAATGAACGGCTACTAAGAACTTTTTTGAAATTACGGAACAAAAAACCTGAATCCGAGACGATAAATCTAAAACCTGAACAAATATGTTAGGTTTTTGAAACAATCCGATACGCAAGGTAGTAATCCGGGATCGTCCTGGTCAATCAGAAGCGTTAATATGATTTAAATATAAATTTTACAATTTGAGGACAGATATCTTAAATGGTGTTTTACACCGTAAATATTTTGATTACAATAATAAACTATAAAATATGGCCGAGATATGTAAGCGCAGCCTAAGTAATCTTAGAGATGTGAAATTTCCGTTCCGCGCTCTAAGCGCTGCGACTCGATCAAGCCGATACGGAAACTCGGAGCGTTTAATCTATGATAAGATTTATCGGCTAATAAATTTCCACATTACCTTAAGGTTGTGATAGAATAGTATGGCGCCCATGGTGCTCACGGTGAACCAAATGAACAGAGTGAATGTCGATACTTGAGAAATGCGAAGAACATTCAATATCGTAGACAGGAGCACGGCTGCTGCGTGACAGAAGATAATTGGCAACAGACATCTGTCGATCATGTCCCATGGCAACTCTTGCTGGGCCGGCTTGTCGCCCTTGGCGCCTTTGCTGATCGAACCCCGCTTCATGGACGGAATCCTCTGGGGAAAACAATATCGGATATAAAGATTAAGATAAAGATTATCGCAGACATGTTACATATTTACTTGACGGTTTACTTATTTCATTCCAATGCGGAGAAAATCGATGAGAAATGAACGAGAAAAAGTCAATGAACTAGCATCTCTTTTGAATGCATTCATATACATTTTGTGCAATCAAAAATATATATATATATATATATATATATATATATATATATATATTAGATGACCCAACAAACGTTGTCCTGTACCCACGTCTACAATTCAGAAGTTCCCAATATTTCAATATCCTATCCTATACTTTTTAATACCCTATTTGATGCCCTGTCTTTGTGATTGTCATTTATGGTCTCAGCATAAGCAGTATAACAAATTCAGAAAAAATATTATACAATTTGCGGTAAAAAAGAACAATATCAGACTTGATTTTACCACACTGCATAATTGGTTCAATAATTTAGTCTATAATTTTCATAATCTCGAACGATATATAAGTTGCTTTTTGGCAATTATAATTTCTAGAGTACATTTTTTTATTAATAAGTTAATAAACATTATTGCTAAAGTTCAAATCTTAGGTGAATTAATTTGTAAAATCTAGTTCATATGAGCACTCTTCAATCTAAGATGAACTCTCTAAATATTCCATATCCAATGCCTAACAAATGAATTTTTGGCACATGAAACAAAATTCTAAATTATTTTTTTAATAAGTAGAAATATTTTTTTGTATTGTTAAATAATTTAGTAAAGTAAACCAAAATGCGACATGCATAAGATTAAACAAATAATGTTTTATAAATTTTGGATTTATTGCCTTATTTATTAAAATGAATTATATAATTTCATTAGCCGAACATATACTGTTGACTGTATCTTATATTATTTGAATTTCTGGCGCATCTTAGCTGTTTTTTGGCAATAATAATGTAGACATTGCGTTGTTCTTGTATATTATATTCTAATATCATCTAGGCTCATGATTCCAGCTATATTCAAATTTCAAGAGAATTGACATTATAGCAGATGGCAGTTCAAATGTTTTCAATGTCAAACAATGATAAGTGGTTTTTCGTAATTTTTGCCATTTATTTCCATAATATTACTATAGTTTCATCGTTTATTAAATTTTAAAAATTTCCTTTGACAAATTCTAAAAAGAATTATCAAAATCCGAAAAACCGTTTAGGAGAAGTATCAAATCATACACCCGTACAGAAAAATTTTATATATAAGATATGTATTATTTAATGGATAGGTCCTGGACTTTTCAATAAATTGATATATGTGTAACAATAAGTTTTTTGTAATTACAGACAGTTATCAAATCGAACAAAGTCAAAAAATTGTCAAATATTTGTGAGCAAATATAGGGAACTGAAAGCCGAAGCACAGACCAAGATGTATAAAAGCAGAAGATTTAAAAGTGAAATACATAAAAAATATATGTAAAAATGATTTATGATAATAAAATGGAAATGGTAGAAATTAATAAGGGAGAGAAAGGGAATCATTGATTCATGGTGCTTTTGAGCAGACTACCATTTATTATTATTGTTATTATTATTATTATCATTATATATATATATATATATATATATATATATATATAGTTTTTTGCAGTGTGGACGGTTTCCTCATATAAAGCAAAATAACGTTGCAATCATTCTAACATTTCGTATGAGTTTGATTTATTGTATTTCGTCGTCAGTTGGATCCCTAAAAGAACAATTATATTGTGAAGACCAAAACAATTATATCATAACAAATATAACATATCAAACTAACAACTATCTGACTATGTCCAGTGAAAATCTCAGCTAATTCATCATTGTAGAAATGTGTTTTTTTTTTCGCTGTTTTACAAAAAAATGTAACCTGGTCCTTTTTACTTCATAGAGTAAATTGGAATAACCAGGAAAAAAAACAAGTCCAATGTTTTATTTTAATTTATTTATTTGAGGGTTTTTTGCAAAATAATATATTATTTAACAAATGCAAAATATAAATTTCATTAAATTATTATTCATAACATTCCTAAACAAAATAAAATAGTACATTTTAAATTCAAAATTGAATTAATTAAAAATCCCAAATTAGAGAGATTGGATAAGTACTTGTTGCTTGAAATTATAAATATTTATTTAACAATTGTAAGACTGGGAAAGTTCTTCACATAGACATATATTGATAGATCGCATATTTATATAAACATGTCATACTTTTGTAATCAAGTTCTATTTTGTTATGTTTTGTAAATTTGCTTATAGTAATATCTAATATATGTCTAAAGTTCCGTTATAGTGTAAACTGTGATATCATGCTAACAATTTCTCGAAGCTCGTGTTCGAGCTTAAAATTATACTCTAACCAACTTGTTATTATTCTACTGCAATATAGAGGAAATTTCAAGTAGAATTTTGTTAATAAGGGTTATTTACAAATAGCCCGCACTTACAATGTGCCCTGCATCATTATATAAAGTCACACTTTTTATCAATGACATTTTTTCGTATTATTATTAATAAAAATTATTCTGTTTTTACTAATTTTATCCACAAAAGTTATATGTATGTTTTCAGGATTCATGGTCATGTACTTTTACATTGTAAGTTAAAGTTTAGGAACGGTATCTTTTTGAGTTTAGGTGAAAAATGACTATCATAAAGTTTCTTCCTGGTACTCTGAATAAAGTCTGCTGAATGTATCATCCACAAGAATTATACTTTCTCTATGGCAATATGAAAGCAAAATTTCATAAAGTGAAAATACGAAAAATATAGTAGGTACACCTATTATGCATATATAGGATCGCGTTTGGGATTTGATAACTTTTCTTATTATTTATTCATTTATATAATAATTATTTTATTATTTATTCATTTATTATTTAATTTATTTACTATAAACTTATTTATATTTAGCAATTATTTTTGAATATAAGTATGTAGTTTGTTTCATGAAAATTTGTGTTTATATATATTGCATTTTTTTTTGTTTTACAAATTATTAAGTATAGATACTTTACAATACAAAGTCATAATGAAGGAGTTTATTCTGTTAAAAAAATTATTTAATTTTTATTCTGTTTAAAAAAAGAAATGATATTTTCGATCAACAACCCCTGTGTTCTCACATCATACAACAAAAATGAAGCCATAAAACGTAAAAGTAAGTTATAATAATTTTGATGTCTTTATAGGCCGTTTATGCGGTCATTTTATCGTGAATATGGTATCTATAAAATCTGATAAAATGATATTATGGGGGCCGCGTAATGTTCGAGAAGGTACATAAAACTTTTGCACGGAGAAAAGATTTTTTTACAGAAGACTTCAATATATAGAATACTAAAAGTATTTACAGATAAGCATACTTGATGTTATCTATAGAACTTCCGTTTATGAGGCCAATGATGTCCTATTATTATCATAATGAGTAACACAATTTTTTAGTGTTGAGTGCTACTTTAGATATTTGATTTAAGGAAAGAAATTTTAAAATGTATAAGTATGATGAGATAATTATTATGCACATTTAGATTCGATAAGTTAACAATAAATGCGCAATAATATTTACTCTAGGTAATTAATGTCGTCATTTTAAAGGATAGGGTAACTAGAGGCTTGTTGTAACAGTGCTTTTTCAATTAATATATATTGAGATCTAATGAATATATTTCTATGAAATGAAATATAAAATATTCCTCAATCAAATCAAGCAAAAATAATTCCATATCTATTGTTCATTATTTTACAATTAATTATTTTTTAGAAAAAGTACAGTGTTACAACTTACTTAAAATATATGTTTTTGAAATTAAAATTGAATAGATAAACAATTATCGGTTAATTTGCAAAATATTATTTTGTACTATGATTATTATTGTATTCGTCAAATATATAATCGTCATAGTCATATACTATTTGAATGTCAAAATAAATAGATTTATAGAGATAAAAAAAATATCTTTCTACAATCAAAAGTTCACCATTATGATCGACAAGCGATGTAAAGTAAATTAATATTAAATAAACAATGAATCGATCATAAAATGCATATTTAATCATTTTATTTCAGTAATAAATATTCGTAATATCGTAGAAACGTATATCAAATAAATATGAAAATAATATCAAAGCACGAACTGAAATACATTTGAAAATACAGAATAATGATTTTGCATTGTTATGAGATTCTTCCTATCTAGAAGAGATTCAAGGCAAATTAAATTTGCTTTTTATTATATGAAAACAAATATATAATTTCTTGAGTCTTTTATTGGATTTATATAAAAATATATTTAATATAAAAATTGTTTGTGAATGTTTTACGCGAACTGCACTAAAATGCTACATACATGCTTTTATGACTTAACATTTTATAATATAACGACCGACATAAATTGTCATACAATGTAGAACAAACTGATTTAATTTTTATTTATTCCGCAAATTTATATTTTAATATTTTATGTGATTAAAAAAAAAATTTAATTTTTATATTATGAAAAAATATTATGCGTTGAAATTAAGTTTGCCAGATGATAAAGGATGGTAATTGTTGGATATTTAAATTTAGAATCTTAAAAATTCAAATCAAACAAATATTAGTTACATTACTTTCACTTAACTGTAATATTTCATGTAACATAAGATCTTTACATTAAAAAATAGTTTAATATGGACTTGAATAAATAATGCATTATCTATGTTATTGTTACGTTTGTGAATTAAAAAACTAATTGAAATGCAGTTTTGTGGAATATCTAGATTCTAGAAGAACAATAAAATAAGCAAATATTTCAAAATAATTGGATGTTTTTGTAAAAGAGGTAAATATGTCTCGATGGAAAAGCTTTGATAATATAAAGAAAACGTGAAAAAATATTGTCGTTTCATATATTTTTACAGGGTGTCCCAGAACTCAACATCAAGCCGAAACGGGGTGATAGTGTTGACCTTAACTGTCCAGAAACAAATTAAGAAAAAAAATATCTCACGTTGTTTGGAAATTTTTAGCTTTTAAGTGCAACCTAGAGCTTTGATATAAATGTGATTATTTTGGTTAATTTTTATTACTTTTTTATTACTTTTTTATTTCAAAGAATATTGAGACAATTGCCCCCAGTTTCCAATAACTAAATCTTTTTGTTGATTTTGTTGAACTATGAATTTAAAATTTTTAAAATCACTTTGATAGTCTCTTCCTTAAAAAAAATATACTAAAGTGTGTTGGCAAGTTTCATCAAAGGTTGGCACATTTAATAAGGATTGTAAAATGGTAAAATATTTGATAAATTTATAATTGAAAACAAAAAACTAGTAAAAAAATAAAAACTGAAAAATGGTTCCTAATTGCTAAGGCGCTCAAATGTTTTTGTTTCGCATATGCTCTTGGTAGATTCCTAACTTTTCTACAATATGATGAGAAATAGATGGTGAATAAGGCAAAGCAAATACTGACGTCACTTTTACCAAAATCAACAAAAATTAGTAAAATTAATAAAATAACGAATAATCTTGACCTTGTGTAATTTAGGTTTATTGGAATAAATATCAGATAGAAAAATATCCCTTACCCCAAAGGGTCCCGGGTTAACTTGACCAATAATAATAAATGTTGAAATTGTTTCCCATCTGCACCAATACATGCCTTAGATCATCTTAATAAGATATATCCATATTGTCCATATCCCCAAGAGTTGATCTCTAGACTTGTCGTTGAGTTCTGGGACACCCTGTCCAATATTCGTTATATATCTGTCTGTACGCAAAAATAACAATGCATTGAAAACGAGACAAATTTTCTTTCATCACATGACTGAATCAACTGAGAATAAAAATTTAGACTTGAATCTCTAAATTTTTATTCTCAGGTGATTCATTTGATGAAAAAAATCGTCTCGTTTTCAATGCATTGTTATCTTTGCGTACAGACAGATTTATGACGAATATTGGACATGGTGTCCCAGAATTCAACGTCAAGTCTAGAGATGAGCACTTAGGGAAATGGATAATAAATAGATTAAGATGATTTATTAAGATAACTTATTGGTGCAGATGGGAAACAATTATAATAATTTTAAGTATTTTTCTAACTGACTTTTATTCCAATAAACATTGAAAGTTTTAATATAAAATGAATCCCGATTTATTGATTTTGAAACTAGAATTCATTTAATAATGATGTGCAGATTTACAGATATTATATTTGTAAACGTCAGTAATAAATGTTTAAAAGATAAATAATAGATTTTATTGCTTCTCACACGTGATAAATATTATCTTTAAAATTTCAAATAAAATTCTATCTTCGACTGCATAATAAATATGAAGACCTAAATACTATTGCAACAAAGTAAGCGCTTTTGTCGTTGTACCGCAGCATAATTTTACAATATCTCGAAACTGTACGATTGACAAGTTTTACAAACTAGTAACATTTGCATAATATACACTATTCTACATCACTTATTGGGTTATTAATTTTAAAAGTACGTGACTAGGTGGAACAAATGTTTTGCAAAGCTCTACGTTACTTTATATCAAAGTACTTTCGTTGCCTGGTCGATGCTAACGTGCCAATATGCATGGTAAAAATGGAACTTATGAGATGTAAAGGAATAAAATGAGGTAAAAATATAAGAAATAAAACTTGTATGTAATAACAAGTTAAAAGATTGAAACCCGAACTCCTTGTAATCTAATATCATGCTTTTTCACTTGAAAATAAATATCAAAAATACATTTCCGTTGAAAGGCAAGTATGAAGAATAAATTTTCAATAGGGCTCTCGCAATAAGCTTTCATGATTTTGTTGAAAGTTTAACTCATCAAGGAGGATCTTCTTTGGTTAAAGAGCACGTCATTTATTATTAAATAATAGACTCATTTTTAGGAAGGCAGGTCCAACGATTTCGGAGATACAAAAAAAGGTTAAAAAAAATTGCCATTTGGTGTTCAAAATTGACTATCTCTCGCAATAAGCTTTCATGATTCTAGTGAAAGTTTAACTCATCACGTGAACCTTCTTTCGTTAAAGAACAGGTCATTTGTTATTAATTAATTGACTGATTTTTAAGATGGCAATTTCAGCGGTTTCGGAGATTCAAAAAAAAGGTTAAAAAAATGCCATTTGGTGGTCAAAAATGGCAATCTCTCGCAATGAGCTTTCATAATTCTAGTGTAAGTTTAACTCAACACGAGGACCTTTCTTGATTAGAGAACACGTCATTTATTATTAAATAATTGACTAATTTTTAAAAAGGCAGGTCTAGCAGTTTTGAAGATACAAAAATAAATTCAAAAAAATGGCATTTGGCGGTCAAAATTGACTATCTCTCGCAATAAGCTTTCATGATTCTAGTGAAAGTTTAACTCATCCCATCCATCAGGAAGGCAGGTTTAGCAGTTTTGGAGATACAGAAGAAGAAGTTCAAGAACATGCCATTTGGCCGTCAAAAATTAACAACAAATTATCAAATATTTTAATAATAACTACAGATTTTATTTCCAATTTTATGGAATCCGTAGCAAAATTTATTATGTTCAAAGTTTACTTATTATATTGTTGAAACAAATGTCTTCGACATTTTCTACAGTATGGATCAACCGACTTGAATGATTCAAAAAACATTCGGTTCGTACTGACGGCGAGATGTACTGCTTAATTTTTTCAAAAGGCGTATCCAGTATTTTTGAAAAAAACGGACCAAAGATTGGATCATCCGATTGCATTGATTCAGTAATATTTTGATTTTAATTTCTATGAATTCCATTATAAGATTTATAATGTCCAAAGTTCACTTATATTGTTCAAATAAATGTCCATTTTTTACAGTATGAATGATTTTTTTACAGTATGACATGAATTTTTCAAGAAACATTCGCTTCGTACTGACGGCGAGATATACTGGTTAATTTCTGCTATAGGCAGGTTCAGTCTGTTTAAAATTATGGAGCAAAGACTGCAAAAATTGGTCATGCAGTTTATGAGAAAACGGCTCATCCGATTACATTGATTCAAAAAACATTTTACTTGTGTTGATGACGTGAAGAAATTTAATAAAAAATTGAATTTTGCAAAAAATCAAATTTTTACAAAACAAATCAAACAAATTCAAAATTTAAAAAATAAAATCGCAGGATTTGAAAGTTTTCAAAAATTAATAAGCACTTACAGTATTTATAATCATTTGAAATAATTGTTATTATTCATTGTTCAGTTCTTATTGATTACTGATTGAATTTATTCATTGAATATTTAATTACGATACGAGATGTTCCAACTATTTGCCTTAAGACACAATTCCATGCACTACTAGTTTAATACACAATTCTGAACAGAATATATCCATATGTACCTAGAGATGAGCAAATTTTAGCAGAAATCGGCAAGCCATACCTTTACCAAAACTTATTTTCAATAAGAAAAATCTTAAAATAAATACACCATGACTATGTATTCAAAACCTTTCATTTTTTTCAACGATATATGACCACGTTTTTCTTTTCGAAGGAAATTGATCACCGTAATAATACTCACTAGGTGCTACGCTAGATAAGAAATAGCGCAATGTATTCCAGAGAAAAGGGTTAACAAAACATCACAAATTCGTTTAGGTCACAGCACCTGTATTTGAACTAACTCAGAATTCGATTCGGAAAGCTGGCCGAGCGCACGGGGATTACGCAATTGCGAGATGCACTACACAAGTGCATTCGTGTTCTCGATCTGCATCACGCGGCCTCATATTTAACAAAGTGTTGCTAGTTTTGTTGTCTTGCAAGTCCGCTGACCCGGAAAAGTTATTACGATTCTCGTAATGCACGAACGGCGTAGAATCGATTCACAGCCCGATCATTACCTTAATAGGTCCACCGACGGGCATCGCGCTCCAATGGATTAATTCAATGCGGCCAATTAATCTAATGAATTCTGTCGATGGCGTTTAACTGGAAAGCATTCGACAGGAGGGCGCAGCAACACAAACTACATCGTCCAGAGTCGTCGGATCGGAATGAGAAGCGCGTTTCGAACAATTTTTATACTAGTCGACAAAATTCACGAATGTGAAACGCGGATTACACTGATCGGAGACACAGTTCCCGGCATCGGAGCCCGAATCCTCGGCCGGCGGCCAGCTAGGCGCGTTCGCTATATATAACACGCTTTTGGGTGAGTAATGCACGCATGCAGAACTCGAACGGGACGAAAATAAATCGCTTGACGGTTGACCCACTGACAAATGATCTGTCGATTTTTTTCAAGATCAAATTCTATCATCTGCACTTCATTAAGATTAAATTCGATTGAGTGTAATTTTTATAGCGATACTATTTTAAAATAGAGGAATAATTATGGTCTATCAGACATCACCTTAAATTGGACGTCATAGCAATTATAGGAGATAAACGGCTACATTGTCAAAATTTTAATGAAAGAATTTTTATTGTTGTTTGTTGTTTTTGTTTTTAAGCACGATTGTTAAGCTTACCTATGATATCTGAATATATTTTTTAAGTATACGTTATTTATTTATTTTATAAGATATATGGTTATTTTTAAGAAAAATTAGAATTTTTATATAACCTCTAGAATAGCTTACATGCAGTTGCTATAGAAAGGACCATCTAAACCATAATTTCCCAAACTTGTTTGTGCCGTGGACCCCATGCAATATTTTTTGTTTTGTTATGGACCCCCTATATTAAAGTGACCACACGTATCAGTGTCGCCGGAACAGTCACGGATTTCCATCTAGTGATCCGAGGATATATGTATGTTGGTACTAATTGGTATTAAAACAGATTGTAGGTTTACAAAAATGAATAATTCGATTTTGATGAAACTTGACATACATTATTACTACACTATACTAAATATTTGACAAAAAATTTAAGTTGGAACATTCAATAATTTTTGAGATATGCGAGGTTGATGGGTTGCAGGCTCCGCTCTCAATACTATTATTGAAACAGATTGTACGTTTTCCAAAATGAATAATTCGATTTTGATGAAACTTGACATACATTATTACTACACTATACTAAATATTTGACAAAAAATTTAAGTTGGAACATTCAATAGTTTTTGAGATATGCGAGGTTGATGGGTTGCAGGCTCCGCTCTCAATACTATTATTGAAACAGATTGTACGTTTTCAAAAATGAATAATTCGATTTTTATGAAACTTGACATACATTGTTACTACACTATAATAAATATTTGACAAAAACTTAAAGTTGGAACATTCAATAGTTTTTGAGATATGCGAGGTTGATGGGCGGCTGGCTCCGCTCTCAATACTAGTATTGAAACAGATTACACGTTTTCAAAAATACATATTTCGATTTTGATGAAACTTGACACACATTTTGACTACACTATACTAAATATTTGATAAAAATTTAAAGTTGAAACATTCAATAGTTTTTGAGATATGCGAGGTTGATGGGTGGCTGGCTCCGCTCTCAATACTAGTATTGAAACAGATTACACGTTTTCAAAAATGCATATATCGATTTTGATAAAACTTGATACACATTGTTATTATACTTTACCAAAAATGTGGTCAAGATTTAAAGTTGGAACATTCAATAGTTTCTGAGATATGCGAGGTTGATTAGTGGTAAGCTCCGCTCTCAATACTAGTATTGAAACAGATTACACGTTTTCAAAAATGCATAATTCAATTTTGATGAACTTGACATATATTGTTGAACACACTGATCTAAACCGTTTACACTGGCGAGGTATAAACAATAAGAAACTAGTGGTCTCAGAATGCTTTTTGATTCGCCATTTTTTACACTTTTTGATCCTTATCTCTAAAATGGCTAAATCGGTTTTGAACAAAATCTAATCACCATGTCTTCTCATCACTATGAATTGAATGTTTTGAATCATTCAAATCGGATGCTCTGTTCTCTCAAGAACTTAATTTCCATTTTCTGCACTCTTTGATCTGTATCTCGGAAACGGCTGGACCGACCTTCCCCAAATACTAATTAGCACTAATCCCCATGAGAAGAAATCGAATGATTTTTGAATAATTCAAATCGGTTGAGCGGTTTCCAAAAACTCCCGAAAACCGTCGACAAAAAATTGTCACATACATACATACACACGCACACACATCAATTTTTTCTAATGTAAGATATGCCACAATGCTCAGGAACCTTTGAAATGACAGTTATTCCAAGTCTGATGATGAATTCTTCTGGCAAATTTCCTTAGGAAAATTGTATCCAGTAAGATCTTTATAAAAAATGTTTCTCTAAAATATGTATTTAAAACAAATGTATTTATCACGTTTGTTGTGATTGTATATCAATAAACTATGAGTCTGATTACAAGAAATTAAATAGAAATAACTACCAAAGCAAAATTTATGAAGTAGTAAGTAGGAGTTGATTATTTGTTAATTATGTTTAAAAATATATATTTAGTTTGTGATTTTTGATTTTGTTGATAAAAGTAATGATTAAAGTGCATCGCATGATTAAATAATGTTACTATTATTCTATGAAACCTTTTTAAAATTGAAAACAAAATGGCAGTTTTTACCACGTTTATGTATGGGGATAAGGTGCCAAATTTTGTTATTTTTAAAAAAAAACAGCAAAAAACATATTTTTACAATGATGAATCAGCTGAAATTATAGCACATAGCCAGATAGTTGTATGTTTGTTGTGCAATATTTGTTATGACATAATTGGATTGGTTTTCACAATATATTTATCAAAGTCAAATTGGTCCTTTGTGCCATGCCCTACCCTATTTAAATTTTATATACATATTTACCAATTGAAAGTTGCAAACGCATCCACGCCAGCACTTTGATAGGAATAACAATATTGATCAAGTGAAAAAATTATTATTGAGAATATATCCATTTGTAAACTCATATAAATTAGACAGCCCCTAGAGTAAAATAAGGTATTCGACTTATACAACAATAAATAGACGTGAGAAACTTGACATATTTAACAAAGCCAAACTATTTTTCACGCAAAAAGGTAATAAAAGCTTTTGTACGGAGTCATGAAAAGGAACGCAACTAAATAATTTATATATACATATATATATATATATATATATATATATATATATATATATATATAAATATGAGTCAAAATCTTCAAGAAATACACCAAATAAAAATTGTAGAAATTTATAAAATCTATATTATTTCTATACGTTTCGACAGATTATCTTATCTGTCCCATTTTCAAGGACAGATTTGAAGAAAAACAGAATATAAAATAACTAAACTATCAAAAAGATTATAAATAATTTTATAATGAGTTTGTGTGTATTGCACATGTAAGTATGTATGAATGAACGTACAAGATTACTGCTAAATAATTCTACTTTTTATTTAGGACATTTATTATTTATTATTGTCGTAAATTAAGCATGTAGACGTGAGCAGATTTAGCTGCAAATCTGTGACAGTTACATCATAATCTATTAGTAAAATAATCATATGCGTACGAAACCTTGACGGTTAATTATAAATCAGATACAAAAATAACGCAAAAGAAATGCCGAATTTCAAAACACCGATGTTATGAAAAAGTTTATATGAAAATGATATATTGAAATCAAATAATTTTATAATAGTAGGTATATCAAAAACAAGTAAAGTTAAATATTGTTTAGCTAAAATATTTGAAAGTAGAGGGAAAATGATACATAACCAGCCATTACCCTGATTCCTACAATGACGCTATCGGGAGTATTTTCATTTTTTGGTTGTGAGCACTGTTGTTTAGTTTAAGAGACCTTAATATAATTTTTAAGTCTACTTTATTTAATTGTATTATGAAATTCATTGATATTTTTAAGTTAAATTTAACAGTTTCTTTCATATGACCTCTATACAAGCTTACAAGTGGGTGGGGTAAAAAGGACCTGCTAAACCTTTACCCCGGCAAGGAAGAAAACAAATAAAATAGTAAATAAAAAGTATATTAAGATAAAAAAAATAATTTTACTAGAGATTTATTAAATAAAAAGTTATTTAAACTCTGCTGATGAATATTTCTGACAAAATACCAGATCAATGTAATATGCGATGATATCTCTATAAAAAATTTACCCTTGAAATTTATATTCTGCATTGGTTGAATAATGCAGATAGTATTTCGTAAAATCCCTTTAAAATTAAAAATAATATGTTGGACCTGTTTGTCCCCTAGCCGTTCCATTTTATTTACCTATGGGGTGAAAAGGACCAGGTGACACATTTTCGAAGAAAGCAAAAAAAACACATTTCTACAATGAAAAATTAGCTGGAAATTTTACTGGTCATAGTCAGATAGTTGCTTGTTTGATATGTGTTATTTATTTTTATATAATTGAATTGGTTTTAACAATATAATTGCTCAAAGTCAAATTGAAACTTTGTGCTCTAATGCTAATTAAAACAGAAATGAATATACAAAAACTGATGTACTTAATATTAATTAATATATTAATTAATTATATATTCATTAACCTTAAAATTAAAATTATTTGTATGTATTATGAAATCAACTATTATATTATTAATTTATATTTTTATTAAAAATTACAAATATTGGTAAATTTTACACAAATAAAATTTAATACACGTTTCATATTTCAACTTCTTAAGTTTCATAGCATCACGCAATACAACAAATAATAATAGTAATTTTCAGTTTCGCAAAATGAATTTTATCCACTTTCTTGAAAATTTAATTTTAACAATGAATTTTATGTACGTGAGAAAACTATACATCGTATTTCCGATTAGAGAATTAAGTAATTTGTCGGTCGTATATTTCCCCCGGGCGTAAAGCTTTTCCTGCGTGCCGTGTTTCATAAAATATAAATATGTAAAAAAGTCACGTATTTCAGTTCGAAGCCCGTTCACAGGTAATAACGTTATAAACTATTCATATAGACGCTAAAGAGTAATAAAACGTTGAATTGTGACTTCAATCGTGAAAACCCTGCCAAAAACACGTACGTTGGGCCCTGTTCGCATAAAGAAATCGAAAAATGCAAGAAGTAGACTAATTGTAAATAACATTT